TTTGCAGGAAAAAACGTGTCCAGGGCTATGAATTAATAAAAACGATTCTCTTCACACACTCACAAACAATTATTAACAATAGCTATAGCCTATTTTTTTGTTGAATACTCCACCCACACCAGAGAAAGAAAAAAAAAAAAAAAAGAAAAGAAAGTTGCAGCAAGGATTTTGTTACACTTTGGGTGCAGCTGATAAAGAATTTAGTAGCAGACAAATTCTTTAAATGTTAAAGTGATTGGTCATTGCCTGTAGGCAAAGGAAACTGCAAGAGAATTTACAATTCTAATCTAGAAATAAGTAAATGGGGTAGAGGAGGCCAGATGATATTTTAATTGAATGGCAGAAATTCCTAACACCAATTGCTCCATATTTCATGTAAGATATACAATCAACACGACACTTTAATGTTTGAATATGGAAATTCTGTCCAAACTAATACGTCATTTCATTCATATACATGTTAATACATGAAAGCAAAAGGTCAAAAGCCACAATTATCTTCACAATTTAGAAAAAGAAAACAAGGCAGTCCTTATTTATCTTTCATTTTGTTTTTTTTTCTCACTAGGAGCAGATAGGTTTGCCAATCATCCGGTTGACACTCCTACCAGTCTTTTGAGGAGTACAAGTTAATCTTGTTCCCTGATTAGAATTGGTTTTCTGGTTCCTTATAAAGTCTTTTCATTCTCTTTCACTCTGAGTAGCACTTTGCATCTTAGTGGCAATGCTTAGGGTGAATTGATTTAAAAAAAAAAAAAAAAATGAAATTAATATGCATGTGTGTAGATCATTCAGTATATATTAAAAACAAGCTTAAAAGCTGCCCTATAAGACACATTTAAGCGAGCTCCCACAAATGGTACTTCATTGGGCCTTCAGCTTGTTCAAGAGTTTGAGAGTCCCTAAATCTTTGCATATTCTCTGCATTGGAAGCTCTCCTGGCTGCCATTTGATCTGGGTTCTCATTTGCATGTGACTTTCTTTTCCTCACTGCAGCCGTGGCTCTTTGGATTGAAATCTGGTCCTCTGTTGGCAAAGATTTCTTTTTGCAAGCCATACAGCTGCCTTATGCGATAGACAGCAATAAACTACAAAACTCAAAATTGATCATTGCATTTAAGTATTGCATTGATATGTAAGTTTGCCATTTAAAAGTTCAACGATAAAATTTCTGCTGCCACTTAATTTAAAGACAATTTGATGTACGTAGGTCCTTACTTTCCAAACAAACAATTATTTTTATTTAATGAATGACTTTCACTGGATTTCACAATTAATTTCTATTATTTCCAAGTTATAAAAATTGTTATCTTACAAAAAATTTTGTTACAAAAAAAAAAAAAAAAAAAATTGCTAAAAACAATTGCAGTAATGAAAATTTGGGAATCCAAAATTTTTGTAACATGAGCTATTGAAAGTTAGAGAGTTGTGTCCCTTTAATTGAAAAAATGTGATGCACTGACATTTAGTATATAAGAGATGAGCTATTGAGAATTGTGTCCCTTTAATGGAAAAAAGTGTAACATACTGACATTGGCATTTATTACATAGAAGACAAAATAAAACTTTTTTTATACTTTCATTCACCCAATACAAAACCCAAGAGCAACTCAAGGTAGAGGGTTTCTGAATAGGACTGTTGTAAGAGAAGAGTAAGGAGAAAGCAGGAAATGTATATAGGTAGGATACATAACAGTTTCCCTAGACTTAAAGATGGTTTGGTTTAAGGCATATCAACCTGAATGTGTTATTTAATGCTGACCAAATTTTTATTGCTGGAATTATTGTTTTTGAAAAAGTATTTCTGGTAATATTTTTCCAAAAATGTATTGTTGGTAATATTTTTTTTCCAAAGTAGTATTGCTGGTAATAATTTTTTCTTCAAATATGTATTGCTGGTATTAAAACCTATTTTACATGTTTTGACACCAGTTTGGGGGGTTAACTATTTGCCCATAGCTGGAACCCTAACAGGTGCTACCACCTAGTGTCAGGGTGCACCAGGGAACACCAGCAATTAGGAGGTGGTTCCACATGCCTCAAAGCCTCCTGATCAGAGGCCTTACTGTCAGATGTAGTTTATCGTCATACCCAGGATGACTACACTGCGTGCCAAATTATTATCGAGATAACTTTTTTTCTAATATTTCAAAAACCATCCAATCAATTCACACAAAATTTTCACACAATATTGGCAACACTGACCTGCGCAACCACTGAAATTTTCTTACTGATCTGCGCAATGTAAACAAATTGGTACCATATTTGTTATCAGCATGGTGATTTGAGCATGCCAAATTATTAGAAAAGTATAAGAATTTGGTGAAAAGATGGGTTGTAAAAGCAGTTTAAGTGATGCTGAAAAGAAAACTATCACCTCAGGGCTCTCAAAAGGTAAATCTACCCTAGAAATTTCTAAAATGATAGGGAGGTGTCATCAAACAATGAAAAAGTTCACCGCTGACCCTACACAAGTGCGCAAAAGGGCAGATAAAGGCAAGCGGAGGGTTATTTCACGTCGTCTCATGTCACAACTTAAACGAGAGGCCACGAAGAACCCTGGACTTATCAGTCAAGAGCTTTTCAGTCGCATTGGGGATCCTACTGTGTCTAAAAGTACTTGGTGTTGGTATCTGAGGGAAATAGCAACCTTTATCGAAGCCTCCGTTGACGAGAAATCACATTCAGAATCGATTGAAATGGGCCGAGGACAATATGAAGATTGACTTCTCTAAAGTATTGTTCACAGATGAAATTCGAGCAACACTTGATGGGCCAGATAGATGGTGCAAAGGCTGGGTAATGAACGGACAGAATTGCCATCAGCGTTTGAGACGCCAACAAGGCGGTGGAGGCATAATGATCTGGGGTGGTATTATTGAAAAAACATTAGTGGGCCCATGGAGAGTACCAGATGGTGTCAAACTGACTGCTGATGCATACATAGTGTTTATGAAGGAGCATCTTGAACAGTGGATGAAAAGGCAAAGAGTTGCCTTCAGAAGGGCCATTGTTTTTATGCAAGATAATGCTCCCTCACATGCTGCTCACAAGACTACTGAATATTTAAAACAGTTAGGCTTCGATGAACCTCGAAAAATGAAGTGGCCAGCAAATTCTCTGTATTTGAACCCAATCGAAAACCTTTGGAGCATCATGAAGCCAAGACTGTACACCAACGGACGACAATTCAGAAGCAACGCTGAGTTGTGGGAAGCAATTCTTGACGTATCTCGCAGCATTACAGCAGATGACATCCTACAATTAACAAATTCTATGGATCATCGACTTCTTCAAGTAATTTCAAAACAGGGAAAGCACATTCCCTATTTGTTTAAAACTGTGCCTTTTTTTGTATCTGTTATTTGTTTGATTATCTTATTTATTAGCTTCTTTTGATCATAAACATTCACGTACAACATTAATAAACGTTTTGTGTGCTCAATTCTGGGAATTTTACTAAACCTTTCTAATAATTTGGCACACTCAAATCACCGTGCTGATAACAAATATGGCGCCAGTTTGTTTACATTGCGCAGATCAGTACAAAAATTTCAGTGATTGCACAGATCAGTGTTGCCAACATTGTGTGAAAATTTTGTGTGAATTGATTAGACGGTTTTTGAATTATTAGAAAAAAGTTATCTCGATAATAATTTGACATACAGTATAGACTTAAAAAGGTTAAAATTATAATGGTGATATTGATTGATTGATTGATTTTCTAACACTTAACATCCTGAAAAAATATTCAAAGCCAGAAAATGCTTTGGGATTGAGAGAATTAATTTTTTGAGAAAATAATGATTTAGTGATACAATTCTTACTAATTAACCCATAGCTAGGATGAGAAGAGGTGGATTTTTGCATAGGTGAATATAACAAACCCAAATGGAATTGGAACTTGGATCTCCAATCAACAATTCTAAGCCATTATCCATTACACCACCTGCACATCTAAACTTATAGCACCTGTTATTCCCAAGCAGTCACCAATCTTGGTACTGACCAGGCGCAACATTGCTTATCTTCAGTGACTGTACAAGTGACCATAGACCCATACTATTGGTTAGGGAAGCATCCTCTTGGAAGCATTGTCTACAAAATAACAGTTCTGGAGAAGTAGTTGTCCGAGTGGAATTTACTCCTTACCAAAAAGGAACCTGAAGGAAATGGGGGATGATTTGCCACCATAAACAAGTCGTAGCTGTGAAAGTCTAAGCTGGTGGGACTAAGGCTTGAACCTGAATTTGCAGATGTTTCTATGTAGAAACATCTTGTTGCCCATCTTGGAATAGACTGATCCTGTTGGTTCACCATTATGTTCTTTGTTATAAAAAAAGGTGAAAGAAAAAAGAAAATAAATGGTGTGCTGTTTCTTGATTGACAGCCTTACACAGAGCTGATTTTTTTCCTTTTCTATAAACTACACTTATATGGGGAGGGGGGGATTAAAATTAACTGAACCAGAAAATAATGCTGGACATTTTTGAAACAGAAGAGTATCTCTTTGATTTGATGCCAGAGTTTGTAGAAAAGAAAAACTGGGGTATGAAGCGGTTTTGAAAATCGTCTAAGTCAGTAAAATAAAAACGGAAACCTGTAAACAAGGATGAAATGCAGAAATAAGTTTTCCTCCCAGTCCCTGCTGCAACAAAAGGGCGTGGATTTGATAGTCTGGCATTAGATAGGGAGAAGAACTACACAGGTGTCTGATAAATCCAAGAGAAAAAAAAAATGTATAAAAATTTTAGGCAAAGCAAAACAGTAGGAATTCTTTTCCACCCATTTTTAAAGATATTTTTGATTTAGAAGAAAAGCAGAAAAAAAACATGATTTTTATCTTCAATGGTAGACAGAAAATAAATAAAATTTAAAAAATAAAAATGGCACACTGCAATGGAGTTTTTTCTGGATTCTTTTATATTTATTATAAAACTGTTCGTTCCTTAGTTACACTCTGCCAAGGCCTCATAAATAAATGGACAAGTATGTTTGGA